CGGTCTTCTTTTAATCTCGAGCATTGCCCAAAGCATAAGTTTACCTTTGTACACATTGCAGGCTCCCAGTTGAGGTCAACGACAGTGCAGAGAGTGTGGCATTAGCCACCCACAGGAGGCTGGGGAAATTTTTGATACAAGGATGATAAAGCTTTGAGCTATTTGTACTCCACCTCGGTTTAGGGCCAAATGCACCTAGAATTGGGATATGGTGGGGTGCCTGGGAAAGGTGAGCTTCACAGCCTTTGCTCCACAGCTGTCTTGAGCCGGCACAGGTTTCTCAGCCCCACTGCTGCCTGCCTGTACGTAGCCCAGGGAAGCCCCGAGCAAGGACATACCTTCTCACCAGGAAACATAAACCTCAATAAAATGCAGCATTCCTCATTCTCAGGGAATTCAGCTGAAGTATTTTACACAGCAACAAACCAAGGCTGATCATGGGACAGGACCAACTTGGGAAGTCCACAGGAAAACAGAGCGATAACGGTTTTTAGCTCTCTTTTTCATCCTAAAACCTCAGTCTCTTTCCCACCTCTGACATCACTCTGTTAAATGGTTTGAGAAGGGCATGGAGTTTGTCCCTGTGGGCAACCCAGAGGCAACATACTTCAGGAAAGGACACTGGAGAAGACCCCTGTTTAAGCTTATATATTTAGCCAGGGTTACTTTGTATGGGAGTGGGAACTTGCTATTTTTCTCTACCTGTGCAAATAGCCATCATTTCCCTTTTAGGGGCATCTCAGAAGCACAGCAGCAAAGCTGCCCACTGTGGTCATTCTTCCCTGAATCCACCAGTGAATCCACTGTCCCCAGGTTAGGGGCCAGAGAATATTACTTGGGATCAACACGATGTCCTTTTGGCATGGTGGTATTTCTCAAGAGAAGTGGCTATGTTCTTGGAGCTGCATCTCCTAAGAAGCAGAGTTGTTTAAAGTACTTAAACATTACTCTCTTGACAAAACACACTTGGCTGAGAAATCCCCTGCTCAGCCTTACCTCACTTACCCCTTACAAAACACTGCGTGCAAGTTGTGCCTACCATCATTTTGTTGAGACAATGCATTTTGTCAGCTGTGCAGGAAGGCTGGAAGCAGCAGGGAAAAATACGTGTGGCCAAAATGGATCTGGCTGGACTAGAAGGGCTGTCATGCCAGACTGCCTGCGTACGCTTGCACCAGAAAGTCCCCTGGCCGTGCCAGTCTCTGGGAGGAGTCAGGGCCAGGTCAGTCCAGGCCATCTCATCCCACATGAATATTGTCCTCTCAGTGACTCCGGAGTAGCCGTACCTCAAAATTAACTTTTTTTTTTTTCTGAAAGGCCGCATAGGTAACAGATGAAAATGGATATGCTATTTTCACTGTCTGAGCACAAAAGGCAACTGATCGCAAAATCCCTCCTTCACAGTCACAGGCATGTCTGATGAGTACAAGGAACCTGAATTCAGATGCTCAGCAGCATCAAAGCAAACAAAAAGCATGGTAGAAGTCTGTTAAGAGCTGAAGCAACAAAGGTGTTGCTCCCTCTCTAGTGAAAATAAGAGAGCTGCCAGTAACTCAACTAAAACAGGAGTGGAAAAAAAGCCTTTCAAGTCAATATTCCTATTCTCTATTTGGCAAAGCAAATGGTGCAGTCACATCGCAGGTGATGGTGAAACCCTTCTTGCGTCAGCAGTAACTCAGAAAGTTGTTTGAGAGCAATTGCAGAGGGTAAACATAAAATCACCAGATCTGAGCAACTATCATTCCAAGTTTTCAAAAGATCTGGCCAAGAACACAGTCAGGCTGTTCAGCCTGATTTTCAGCAAGTCAGAGAGAAAGCAGGTATTGCAATACTGCTTCTGGGCTAAAACACAAGAATATAAGGTAATCTGTCAGTAAGAGAGCATTACATAATTAGCAGCAATATAAACAGAATACAAATCTCAAAATAATGCTACATAACTTTTATAATCAATCAAGGCTTCAAAAAACTGCAATTTCTTGCTCAGCAGCTGGATGGTGCACAAGATTTTGTTTCTCTGTACTTGAAGGTGGGTCCTGTTTAGAGGAACACGAGTACTGCTGCACTTTCAGGGAGATGACACAAGGATCACACTGGTTTGCAAGCACAGCATGAGGCTGGAATAGCAAATAAATGTCTTTGCATGGAGGAACAGTGAATCTTCTGATGGACAAGCAGAAAAAAAATCATGTAGAATCAGAAAATCTGTCGAAAAGTATTTAGAGAACAGCCCTTTGCTCTTTAATGGTGGCTAAGATTATTCATCAAATTTGGCAAATATTTTTAGTTAAAGAAGTTGAAATTGGAGTGGGAAGGACAAGAAAAATTCCCCTAAGTCAAAAGGTCATGTGTCGGTATTTTCAAAATGGAAAAGTTTTCTGCCGAGCTAACACTTTTGTTTCAAAACAGAACTATGGCTAAAAGCATTAGCTAGTAGGAAAATGAAATAAAACATTACATTTTGGATCAAATTAAACATTTCAGTTAATCCAAAACAATTTTCTTCCCAATTTTTCAGTTTCTACTGAACAGAAAATCCATTATTTGGAAAGTTACCATCATACACTGATGAGCTACAACTAAAATGCTAGGGAATAGACTTGAAGACAAGACCTGGAAAAACCAGGACAACTGCTAAGGTCCGTGAAATAGTTTCAAAGACAAGAGAGCTTTCTCTAGAAGGAAGGACTCCAGGTACATTTAGACATGTCAAAGAAAACTGAGGAGCAGCCTTATTACAGCCTGTATGGACAACATCTTTATTTTCTCCTTTTCTTTTCTTTTTTGAAGCCTAGCTGACAGAAGTATAACAAAACACAACATCTGGATTTGAAGCTGTACAAGTTTTGACCATGATCACAGTTTATACTGCTCAGAGTGGAGTTAGTTAACCTTTGGAATAACTTATATTGTGTTGGATTGCCTGTCACCAGCAACTTTTAAAATTACAATTGAACATTTTTCCCAAAAAAGATGCTTTGCTAATGAAACAGAATTGTCAGTGAAGGTGTGTTTAAGGTGTGCCCTATTTTGGCTAAGATACATACTCCTCTCTACCAGCTTGGTCACTGCAGGAGAGCATCCCTCGAGGAGGAGCAGCACCTCCCGAAACCCTGACAAGCCCCAAAGTAAGGGGTCACAAGGGCAGGGAGTTTTACCTACCGAGAGACGCCATGACATGCCCTTGTCCCTAGAGAGCACATTTACCCTGCAACCTGCAGGCAAACCCACCAGAAGAGCAGAACAGTATCAAAGCAAAATGCTGTCGCTTAAGGGAACTCCTTGGCAGGATCAGGCATCCTTCTCAAAATACAAAAAGGTAGAGGAAGGAGTTGTTGCTACCTGCACCACCCTGCTCTGCAGGTAAGGATGGTGTGAGCCCAAGATTATCTCTTGGGGTTTAACCCCAACTGGCAGACATGTGGCTTGTGGCACCCGCTGAGCGGTGCCTGGGCACACACATGTGCACACTGAGTGCTCCTTCAGGCAGCTGCCATGCCCCCCGACACGAGCCAGGGCACACAACACCCGCTTCCCTGGCCGGGAAGGGGTGAGATTCAGACCGCGCTCTGCTTTTGAAGGATCGTCACAACAGCAGAGGTGCTACCACATACATCGCTTCCTACGCACCTGAGCCAAAGTCAGGCTTTATGAAGTATGCCAGGCTTTCCAAAAGCCACAAAACTACGGATCAGACTTTCTTGGCTTGTGTAAATTGGTACAGCTGAAGCAAAAGCTGATTTAAAGCAACCAACAGTCTGCTCGCTTATATTTCAGAGGTACCACAGAGTTTAAAACAAGTTGGATGTAGCGACCCCCCTGATCCAAGTGTGCCAAGTTTAAGGGAACCTTTAAGCCAAATGGGTACTTTATAGCTAGTCCCTATCATTTTGTAAGGTCAAATGAAAAGCTCCACTTTAACAGAGCACAAAACTGAAGATGTATTTTTTTTCTACCAGAAATGCTAATGCAATACAGAGGGTGTGATTTTAATTACGCTCTCCTGTGAAAGCGATGAAAAATTTACCAACTTGCATGCATAGGTTTATTTGACTGCACATTCAAACCATTGCCAGTACACCAAGCTGTCCTAGCTTGAAAACCCAAGAACATTGAATGCAATAATCATATGCTAAAGTTTGAAAACGTAAGTGCACAAAAGTCAGGAAATTCAAAAATTAAGTTATCTACTACAACCATACCTCAGCTCTAGTAGTCAGCCTTATTGTACTGCTTGATTTTACACGCCATTATAGATCTATGCCTTAAAATGTGGCCAGGCCATACCATTGGTGGGATTTTTTCCTAAGGAACATCCTGAATTTTGTGCATTTCAAATCTCGCTCTTAACATTGCATTAATATGTTTGCACTTAACAGTATCATGCTCCAGAGTTTCCTCCCAGCATAACTTGGGCCAGAAATAATCGGCAAGAGTTGCCAAAGGATAGGACAGCACCAGGGCGTCCCACCGGACACCGCTTCGCAAACCAATTCAAGGTATTTGAGCTCCATCGTGTGGAATGCGCCTGCACATACAATAGGCATAAAATATTTGGCTTCCTAATAAATCGCTTGGGAAGGGGAAAAAAAAAATCTATCCCCAAATGTAATATAAAAATCATAAAATTCTGCTTTTACAGAGATTGCTACTGGAGTTGTGCTGCAGCCCATCACCGTGCAAGTCGCAGCGACACAGCTTTTTGATGAGCATTGAGACCAGCTCTCACTGCAGGGCAGGTAATTAGACTCAATTCACACTAGCATTTGCTGCATTGGTCATGGAAATGCTGTTACATGAATAGCTCAGCCGTGCACGGGACTATTACTTTTTTAAAATTGCCTATTTAGGTTTTGTATCCTTTTTTCATTCAGTGCTGGAACACTGAAATGCACAGCCCAATGCTGTTTGTATGTAACAGGCACACTGTGTGACCTCTTTCTCAGATTTTGCGTCATTCTGCAGCTTGGGTTAAGGGAGTAAGAAAGAGTTTCACATCTGTATTTTGGTTAAAATCTAATTTCTTGCAGCCTTTTAGGCTGCAGCCTCCATTCTGGCAATGTCTTTGTGCAGCATCTAGCCCAGAGGGGCCATTATCTGGCTGGCTCCCTGGGATGCTCTCGAAGAGCTCTCTTCAAAGTGAGTATTTTTCCTAGACAAGCAAAGGCTCCTGAATTTCTAGAAGCAGTTCTGTAGCAGGAAGAATGTTGCCCTGACAATAGGTATAGTCATATCTATAGAATACATAAAAAGATAGATAGATGTCGTTTTCAATTTTGTATTTGTTACAAATTATTCGTCTCTTACATACTGCATTTCTCATCCCTGTTTCATAATGAGGAAGAACGTACACTATTAAAAAAAAAATTAAAAAAAAAAACCCAACTAATTACTCTGAGCAGCAACTCAAACCCATCGTGACCACAGCATCAGGAGCAAGAAACAAAGCTGGGCTTCACGACCAGCAGGCAAAATATTACTCTGTTCCTCTCTAACTCGCCCCGTGGGGAAGCTTTGCATGGTTTACCTTTAGCAGTAGCCGCTTCTCCGTCAGCATGAGCCATGCGCTGCATAGCGGTCGCTCCAACACAGACCGGCATGCTGATTTTCTGCCCTAAGACTGAGGTTGACAGGTCCATTACCGACACGTCCCTGAGCACTCGGGGGTACAGCTTCCATCTAACACAGAGACAAATAAAGAGAATAAAAAGCCTGCATCATCAGGGTTATTTACAGTTCCTAACGGCCAGGAGCAGATTTTCCTGGTGTCAGGAGGAAGCTGGAGGGGAAGAAGCTGCACGAGGCACTGAGGAGGCTGGAACAGAACTTCACTGTGTGACCCAGAGCTGGACCCACAAAACGCACAAAGCCAGGAGAGAGCAGGCAAGGAGGGACCAAAGTCCATGGAGGGTGAAAGAGGCAAAGAGCCTTTGGACATTATTGGCTGATATCACCCGAAAGAAGAGACAGGAGCTGCAAAATAATAAAGGTCATGGTAAGTCTCAGCCTCCTCAAAAACCTTAGGGAGAACAGGATGACAGAGGGTGTGTGGGAACAGGAGAAGTCATCAGCCCCCCTCAGCTATTCCTTCTGTGGACTAGGGAACCAATGGACATGGAATTTTGGATCAAACTAGCCTGGCCAGCATGCTTAACCCTCCCCGTCCCATGGGCCTCTGCAGTGAGACTACAAAGCAACACACTGCCACGTGGGAAGCGGGTGGGCAGGATGGCTGCCCTGGCTTTCCTCAGCTCAGAAGGGTGTGGTATCCACCACACCACATCTCTGCTGGCGTGGAGACTGAGCCGCTTCGCTCAGAGAGGCCCCGTCCCTGGCAGTCGCCGGCTGCTGTGCAACGTGTAGTCCCTTGGGACTACAGCTGCTGCCCCCCGGGACAGCCCGTCGTACCGCAGGGACTCTAGACTTCCAGGGAAAGACTAAATGCAGCCACTGTAATTTGGTGCAGAAAAAGGCCAAGTAGCACAACTGCTTTCCCAACAGGGCAAATTACAATCTAGTCCTTGAATGATGTGGCCCAGCATCTGCTCAACCATGCACGGCTTCGCTTTGCTGTCCGCCAGAAACCACATGTGCCCAGAGCTGGGCTTTATTCACCACTGGGGTCCTCAGCCCGGGTACAAGTAGAAGCTGGCTCCAAAACAGAGCAAGCTAAAACACACTTAACCTGAAATCACAATTTATCATGGTCAAGCTGGACATCATATGCTTGCCCACACAGAAATTTGTCTTCCCCCACAACAGCAGCAAAACAGGATCGCGATCCCTCTTATGGGGTCAACAAGACGACACCGCAATAGCCAAACCTTTATTAATAGGGTTGCATTCCTGGGGATACCTGTGAAATTGGACTTTTTTTTTCTCACCATCCAGGCAATGTTACAGGGCAGCCACTGTTACTACAAGCCACAAGAGGGTGTGCATTAGCAGGGGCTGCCTCTCCACACGGGTGTGCACTGAGACAGGCCAACCCTTCTCTGCAAGCTATAGTAGTAGGGTATGCATCAACCTCTTCCTAAGGCATCCCTCCCCGTGAAAGGGCTCTGATGGCTACTGGATTTTAATTACAGAAAATAATTAAAAGCTTAAGCTTTAGTACTGCTGATCCTGACTACCTGCTCAGCACTAGAATGCCTGAGACTCATAATATCATTATTAGCATGGAGATGGCAACCAGAGCCACTATTACCCTCAGACTATGCTCCAACAGTGAGTAGTGGTTAGCTTGATGTTGCAGATTAAACTGACAAGTTAGGAAAAAAAAAAAAAGACAAGAGACGATCTCTTCATTTTATAGAAAGATCAAGAGGCATTTCCGTAAGAAGCCTGGGACAGAGCCAGGACAAGACCCAAATTTCTGAAGCCCTATAGCACCGGGTCGTGCCAGCTCTCCAGGAAGCACTCCCCAGGGAGAAGGATGGTTATGATGCTTGGAAGGAGACATGTAGTTGTGGGAGTCAGCTGTATTACTCGATGCCAAGACACACACTGCAAGTATTTCTCCTCAGACTTGTTTTCATGCTATTGTATTGGTCTGTTATTTTTCAGGGGAGGATGTGCTGAGGGTGGGACAAAGAAAACATGATGACTTTTTTCTCCCTCTTTCTTCCTAATCCTCATTCCAAAGGCTTTCTCCCAGCTCTGAGACATTTTTTCCCAGCAAATATAAAGAAAACAGAAATCCTTTAATAACATTGCTCATTTTTATGGTCAAACTTAAAAGCATAAAAATGTGAAATATCTTCCCCAACCTCCCAGTTGCTCTGCTGTCCTGGACCTGTCAGATTTTTACCTGGTGCAAAACACTGCCATCTCAAAGCACACCCATGTGGGTCAGTCCTGACATACCAATGTTTCTGTAGTGCTTTTAGCTTGGGAAAAGAAACAGAAAGAGCAAAAATCCTCCCAAGAGTGTACAAAAGAATATTGAGGTTGTTTCAAGCAGTGATAAACGACCTCCTTCCCACTCACCTTTATGTACCACCAAATTACTCCATCCATGAGTTTTTTGGGGTCCTCAGGCTCATCAGCCCCAGACTTTAAACATGTCTCCTCCGATACTTTCTGTGGCTTCTCTTCCCCTCACACTTTATCAGGTTGCATCCTCTAGACCAATGTCAAATCAATATTCAGGACTGGGTATTTTCTGGGTCCCATGAAAAACACCAAAGGGATCACTACCTTAGTATTACACTCTAAATAAAACCTGATCTTTGCTTTGGAAACATGGATGTTTTCAGCTGTGAGTTTGACAGACACTTGAAATGAGACATTTTCTGGACAAGCCACAGGGGAATGCCCTTAGCAGCAAGCAAAATCCAAGAGCAGTATTTCCCAGTAACTGGAGCGCACATTCATTAGCCTGCTACTTATCTGCTTCCTCCAAGTCTTCTTTGAGTGAAAAGATTTCCTGGATATTTTGTAAACACTTGTACATTTCTTTTATTCATCTTCTCCTTGTCACCCAGATTTTTTTTTTCCAGCCAAGTCCACACTCAGGTGCTGCAATCAGCAACTGCAAGTGAGGGCACCTTCATTTCCAGCTGGAAGCAGGGAGATGCCACAGCAGGGCAGGCCACAAGTGCTCCCCATTCAGGCAACTTCAGCTAAATGCTGTTTTGAAAAAAGGATCAAAGGGAAGGAGGGGGGATTAGTGTTTGGGGTGTTTTTTTTTTTTTTTTTCCCCCCTCAGTGCTTAAAAATTTCAGATTGTAAATTAACTTGCCACTAGCTAAGAGGGAAGCATTTGCTGTTCCCTCCCCATTTTCAGCTGTGAAAAGTGCTGAAATTTTCAAACTGTAACACATTTTGAAGCAGCTCATCTTGTTTCCCTTCCACATCCATGCTAAATAAGCCCTTCATGCGGCACGCTTGGGCAAGGACACACCATTCAGACAGTCTCCGCCCCAACTCCAGCCCACTTTGCTGCCTTCATCTCCCCTACAGCTCCACTTCCCATCCTAAGGGGCAGGTGCTAGTGCTGTGCAAGGCTAACCAACAGCTGCTTCTGCTTGACAAAAATCGTTTCTCTCCCAGGGTGTCTTGCTACGCACACAGCAACTCTTTTGGCAGCACTCTGCAAATCCGAGGTGAAAGACATGGCAGAAATGTAACCAACTTATTATTACAAGCATTCCTTTCCTTTTCTCCCCCTTACAACTTCACATGCTTGTTTGACCCCAATCACATTCTCAGCTTTGTTTTTTTAACTAATATTCAGATTATTTATGTGCCCAGTCATTTTAACACCCTTAATACCTAGCTACAAGATGATGATACATTTGCAGAAAATATGCATCGATGCTGTCGCTGATAAACAAGGTACTGCTGTTCCTTGTACACGACAACAAAATGCATCTTCTCCAAAGGCCGCCAGGCAGTCAGCAGCAGAACATGTCACAGCGGATTAGCAGAAACGCATTCCTACACACACAGGCATCCCCCTTCATTAAAATGCCGAGAGGGGAGATTTCAGATTGATTTCTTGAATGCCATCGAGCCAAAGGTGCCTCGACCTTGTCATAAAACCTATTTTCCATTCAGGCCCCTTGGTTCCTTGACAACTCAAGAGTGAATTTAACCGCCAGAGAGCTCAGTGCTGGAAGGACACACCGTGTTTCGGGACGCAGAGCAAATGCAAGGTGAATAGGGTCAGATGCCATAGGGAGTAACGTATGCTCTGACATCCCAAATCATCTTCTCTGGCCTTAATGCCTCACATCAGTGTCATCTCCTCAGCATTTGAAAACCGTGAATAAAAAAAAAAATTAGCTGGCCTTAGCAGGAGCACACTGATGTTGATATGCCAGGTCCAGTTCTTCCTTCAGACCCAGAAGAACTGGAAGCTAGAGGAGAGTTACTGTACCTAGCGCTAACCTCATCTTAAACACTGGCTTTTCGGAGACATTTTACGCTCTGGTATCTGATGACAGGTCCAAAAAGTTTCAAGTTCCTGTGCTGTTAAAAAGCCAGGACGTTCATTTTATCATCTAATGAGTATGGATTTTGCTGCTCCAAAAATTGCATGGGCCATTTGAAAGGTATTCCAGCATCTGTTGAAACTATCATTTGTTTGCTAGATCAGTCCTTAATAATAATCTATTTATTTCTCCATAAATGCAACCATTTGGTTGCCCCCCCCAAAAAAAGCGCTCACATACAAACCCAACACTGATTTTTCTCCGAATATAATCTGTCCTAGCAGTCTCGCTCACCCAAATAATCCCGCACCACAAAGATATGGGTTAACAATTTCTGCTTCAGTTTTGTGCTTTCTTCTCTTCCATTTAAACATAAACATTTATACATATACCTATAAATATTTAAATAAACTGTAAATGTTTTTAATCAGGCTGAACCCTGCAGCTAAGCTTCTGACAGGGGAAATCAATGGGAAATGAGGCTGAACATACTCGTTTCTTTCACAAAGTCAACTGGCTTTGTGATCTTTGTGGCTCGGGGGTGTAAAGTCCATCTTACTTTATATTTACCCACAAGCTGCACTCAGGAACAGGGAGAAAAACCAGTAACATGCTCAGAAACACAAAGACTGTGAGCAGCAGTCCTGCACCCTTAAACCGTTAGGCCATGCTTCTCCCAACAGCGTCAAAGAAAAAAAAAAGGAAAGATTTTAAAAGTTGCTTGTGTCAAACAGGTTTTATAAACCAAAACACCGTGAAGTCTTTATACCAGGTTCCTATCTTTTCTAGATGTGTTGCCAGGAAACCATTGTAAACACGGTCTAACGAACTGTTAACAGCAGCATCTCACGTGCTAAGGAAATAGGAATCCACCACCATGTCTTGTCCCTCGGCAGCGACAAGTGGGAACCTCTGTAGCTATCAAGATCAAGCCCATGGAGCCCTCTGCCCAACATACTTCCACACAGCTTCAAGGGCCCACTGAAGGGGGTCACCTTTGCAGAGGGGAAGGTCCATCTGGCTGCAGGCAGCAAGTGCATACTGCTTGATGGAAATACTTCAGTTTGCAAATAGACAGGTACAGGAAGGCACTGCCAATGTTGAGAACAGTTTCACATGTTTTTTAGTGCTACAGAAGGGCTATTTTTAACTCTGACCACCTTTACTATTATCTCCCTCTTGTTATAGACAGATAAAAGAGCACATTTGTCCATGAAGCTGTAAATCACTATATCCATGATGCTCCAGCCCTGCAGCCTTTCCACTTCATACAGGTAAAGCTGGTAAGCCCCAGCAGATGACTTCACCTGCCATGCCCATCCTCACAGGAAGAATTGTGCTAGCGCTGCAGTGGCCAGAAAGGAGGGGACCGCACGTCTCGCCAGGGGAGCTGGGTTTCAGGCTCTGATCCCAGCTCTCCCGCTGATCTGCTGGGCGACTGTCAGCACATCACCACACTTTTTGGTGCTTTGGTGGACACCCAGAAAGAGATGTAGATAAAGAGCGATGGAAAGGTAACGAGCAAAGCGTTGACTTCAGCATTTCTGCCCATGACCTCTCTCTGGCTGTCAACAAGCTCTGTTTGATGATTTAATAGCCGAGTCTTTTAGACTTCATTAACTGCCTTTTTGGAAGATGTTTAAATCGCCTAAAGCTACTGCAGAAATCAGATCTTGTTTTCTTTAAGACAAATATACAAAGGGAGGGGGAGGAAAGACAGAAACACAGCTTCCATCCCCTTGCCTTCACTGCTGAGGAGCAGGAACCTAGCACTGAGGGCCTTTTAGCCACACCAGGACCTGGCAAATGTAATTTACTTTTTTTTTTTCTTTTCTTTTTTTTAATGTCTCAGGCTGTTCTGCTAATGAAGATCTCCTTCAGTTCCAGGCTGTCTGCAAGCTCTGCAGTTTTGAACACCTCAAACTGGAGGCCCTTACTGAAAATATGACAGAAGATGCCAGGAAAGAGGAGGTGAGCCTGAACCCCACAGATGACCAGCCCCATGTGAGGAGGTCTTATCAGAAGCATCTGCCCCTGTGGTGCAAAACAGCTTCACAGCAGAGCTGCTCTTACCTCACCACTAACATCTAGCTCTGCTAACACCAAAACAACAAGTGGACATACCCAGCTTTTTGTTAGCCTGTATCTGGGCAGTTTAGTTTTAATCATGATTAGCTGTAGTGGTTAGTAGTAAAATGTTCGCTCCTACTACAGTTCATTGCCTTTGAGCACTTCCTTTGAGTGTCCTTTCCGTAACATCTCATTTTGTTTTTATGAGGGCAAATAACATCATAGCATCTGGAAGCACTAAACAAAATAAAATTACATTTAAAAAAAAGCAGGTGAGCACTGCTATATCCCCTCCTACTCCCATTTACTCCTCGGAGCGGGAACGGTCCTTTGGCTTCTGTTTGGACAGCACCAAGCACAAAGGGATTTCCAATCTGCGATGGGGGATTCCGCGTAGGACTAAGGGGTCTGGAATAAGTGGTCAGCGTGGAGGTTAGTTTTCTTCTTCTCCTGACATTATAAAGCTTTTCCAGATGTGTCCCTAAAATGAGGGTTTTGAACTGATTTCTGAGATCTGACCATTGAGAATACATTCAATAAATTACTACTAAGTTTCCTAGAGCCCTAACAAAGTTGCATGGGATTTCCAGCTGAATTTCTTGCAGCCTGTGGAAAGACAACTGGAACAGTAACCAGGATTGCTGCTTTACAGTAAAAGCAAAGTGGAGAGGGAGAAAGACTAAAGACAGATTGAAAAAGTCTTGTTTTGATTTGTTAGACTCAGAGGGATTTAAGACAAAGCCTTTAGAGATTAGCAGAGACAAGTGCAGGGGGGGTTAAATGTCTGCACAAACACAGCACCCGAAGGAAAGAGAAGCCAACAGCTGTTTAAGCAGTTCGACCAGGCTCAGCTGGGCTGAGGCCATCAGCCTCCAGCTGCCGCCTTCCCTCTGCAGCACTTGGGCTTACACTCCATGGCAGAACAGCAGCAGACATTCAGGGGATGGGGAACCAACTGGCTTGATGTGAGTTTTGATGCTGGCCCACTGAATCTGACAGCAAACGCCGACTTAGATAGTGTTGACCTTGTACTGCTGGGACAACGGGTCACCTGCGTTCAGGTTTTCACAGGGGGGCAGTCCGTACGTCAAAACTGGTTTATAATCGTTCCCATTGTTTACAGTAGTTCCTGGTGAAGTGCTGACCTTCTGCTGAGGATCCCCCCCAAGCACAGTTTGGCCACCCAGGACTGAGCCCTGGAGCTCACAGCTCGCTCCAGAGCTAGGATGTGCAACTCCTTTTTGCTGGACTATGCAGCTCTGACCTAGCGAAGCTGCACAAGCATTTAACAGGGAAGGCTGCATTACTAATTCCATTTAAGAAGAACAGGCAAAAGGCAAAACTGACTCGGGACCTTAAGGGTACATACAACCCCACCACAAGAGTCCCTTGCTGGTGTTAATAGCCCAAAATGCAGAAACTGGAGTTAAATCAACTGATTAAATATTGGAGCTGAAGGACTCTTTAGAGAATTTACATTAACAAAAGAAATAAAATGCAGGTAAAGCTAAAAAGGTGCTAAGGGATTTTAGGAACAGCTTCTTGACAGAAAACGTTAGCTGGAGGAGTGAAAGGGGAGAGACAGTTGCTCTGACACAGAACTGTTTGAGGGTCATTTTGATAAAAACCAAAAAAGTTTTAGAAAAACTTGAGTTTTGTTCACCCAGAAAAAAAACAATATTGCACCACACCTACTAATAAAGCCAAATTTGCACCCTCCACCTCAGCTTTAAATCATCCTCCTACCTTGAAAATGCTGCTACATTATCTGCTAGCGTTTCCTGGTCATCTGCTCCGGATCGGTAATAATCATACACTGATTTGGGGAGGAATTTTTTAGCATACTCTTCAAAATCAGCTATGCAAACTGGTTTTCCAGACATGTTTGCAGATCTCACAGGGTTAGTTTATTCCTATTTCCCTCTCTTTTAAGCTCTATATTTTTGTCTGTAAATCATTAATACGGGACCTCATCAGGATTCAACTTACCCACATACCAAAAAAAAAAAATACACCAACTTCTTGTGTCACGTTGGACTTCAGCACCACATTTTATTTCATGTGCTCAAGGCCAACCTAGAACATAATGAAATAAAATATGGCAAAAAGATTAATCAGCAATGAGAGAAATATGTAGGTACAACATGCATGACTTGAGCCTGCACTAAGAGGAATATGCTGTCTCTCGTGTATGCCTATGTCATCCAGAATATCCAGGAGACTGAGAAAAGATACACACTGTTTATGTCCAAAAAGCAAAGTACTGGTTTAGATATTTATAAAAGTGGGTCTCAGCCTGGACTGGCGTTTAAGACAACACCTAACACAAGCAGGTTTCCAGTTATTTCCATTAAAATCTTGGATACTGAGTCAAGTTGCAGGGAGCCAGCTGCCAGGCAGCTTGGGCAGTTAATACATCCTCAGGCAAATGGCTCCTGCTTTTTAAGATAATTCCACCTCCACAACGCAAAGACAGCTAGTTATTCTTAACATGTTACAAAGTCAGATGCACTCACCAAGTGGAAATAAAACTAGCTTAGCAAAGAGATGACGCTCATCCAAAGCGTGACAGACTCAGATTTCTTGGTTGAATCTTGACCTAAAATTTAACCAACATGCATTGTTTACAACAGGTACACAGTATTTGTTTGACAGGGAAAACTTACAAGTATATCATGCGTGTGTATAATTCCGTTTTCTGGCTGTGCACATTTCAATTAATGCCATTTTATTAAAACCAGATTTAGGGGAGAAGGGAGAAATCAATACCTTAATTGGGGAAGAATCTCCCAAACATAGTGCAAGATGCGACAGACTTTGCAGCGTGCACAGGAGCAAAGCAGCATGCACCACGCTTGCCGCACACCTCTCCCTGGTGCGAGCAAACCAGGGAGCCTGTATTTTGCTCACTGATCATTATTTATAGCACAGAGAGGAAGAAATGCAATGCGATAGAAGTACGGCGCTGTCTCACTCCCTTCGGTAATTTTGGGCTTTAAGTGACTTGATTTTTTCTTTTTTTTTTTTTCATTCTTCAGCAAGGCTGAAGGATTCAGATAACATTAAGTTAAATATACATATACCTCTGTGAAAACCACAGCCATCTTCCTTGCTGCTGTTTTATAAATAACAACTAGGGACACAATATTCCACAAGGAGTGAGAAAAATGCTTCAGATTCAAAGGAAATTGTCAAATGTCTTTGGAGGAATATCTGAGGGGCTGAGGCAGGAAGGATGGTGCCGGCTGTAAGCTCATTATCATTTAAAGAGAACAATGGCATGAAGAGATTTGCAGCTATTTCTCCAACTGCTTTCCCAGATGAAGGCATCTCAGATTAAACTGTATGGGGTGCTTAGGGGGGCCATTCCTATAGTTGGTCAGAATATTCATGGGAGGAGTTACTGGCAATGAATATCAGTATACATATAATTACCCCATGAGGCATTTATCACACATCAGCGTCAGATACAATTTAAACGCAAACTGGTTGAACATTGACATTTCTCCATGCTCCCAGCACAAAACTGGGGACATGTCCGCTTTCATTTATTTGAAGCTTGCATTGTGCTAAAACCAGGTATTTATCCCACAGCATGAGACAGTAAGCATTGCGTGATAGCTAACTATTTGAATATGTGCAGCTGAATTTGACCTTCATGAATTCAAAAGCTTTTAACAGGAAGTTGCACGAAAATTGCTGAAGGTAACAATACTTTTTTTTTTATCACTGATCTCCCTCCACACTTTTACGGCTATATTCACTTAAAAAAAAAAGTTAAGCTCGTCATAACATGTCCCACCTTGATCTTTGTCTGTCTCTCTCCACTTACATTCATTTGGGATATTCACACAACACCAGACTGCCTTTACTTTACTGGTCATTATTGGCCATTCAGGCTAAAGTCCCTCTTCCCTCCCCTACCACGAAGTCGCTCACACGCCAACCTTTACGGATCCCCCCCAACATGCCAACCACACACCAAAGCCCAACTGGGGGCACTGACTTCTTGCTGCTGTGCAGCCAACGTGCCTCGGGAAGCTCTGCAGCCCTCGAGTCCACCAGGACCTGGGCACTCCTCCACTCCAGCAGGACATTCCCCCTTCCCACTGCTGGCCAGTTTATGAGCTGGGGTATGGTGGAAGGTGCCAATATCAGCAAAAAGGAAGCAAAACTAAGCAAAATGAGAAGTTTAATCTGCTGCTGAACTGGGACTACTTGGCCTCTTACAGGTGTAATCCTTAGGAGAGTGCAAACATCTCCCCCACCCATCTGACACCAACATACAGACCGGCTCTGACATGGCTTCCATCCAAGTAATTGGCTCCTCATTTTAATAAATCTCTCTGAGTGAGAGGCTTCCTCCATCCGCTTAATGAGACATAAGCTGTCTGAACTTTAACCTTGAAGCAAAAGAATGACGACTTGCTTAACTGCAAAGAGTTTGGCCAAGCAGGCACAGCAAGCCTCGCTGATAGAAGTCAACGCAGAATTAACCTGAAACATTCAGATGTAATTAGGGCAGAGTCAAAAAACAACCACACAGACAAACAAATCCGGGTAGCATTAACATCCTCTCCCCTGTCTACTGCTCCTCGCTTGCTCCCTTGGCAGGTCACTGGGGACAGAGAACTGTGCCACGTACCTGGAGCTCGACTGAACCAGGCTCTGCAAGGGAAACTCTCTACACTTCAGTTCAAAAAGGGGAATCACAGACTCAGGAAGAAAAACCCCTCAGAGGGCTATTAAATACAGAGATATAACTTCTGGCTCAGAAAGCGCCTCAATCAGAAGCCAAAGAACTGTTCAAAGAGACATTACAACATGCTTGTCCTTAACTATGATATTCACCAGAGAGAGTGCTACACAGCATTTTAGTCTGAACCTCTGTGCTCCTACTGCAGAACTGGAGAGACAAGGTCAGTGGTCTCCTGTAAACATGCACAAAACTCCATGGGTGAAGAATGAGTCAGCTGGGATTTTTCTCACTTCAGTTAACTGCTATAAAGATTAACCGGAAATGTTAACTGTGGCATGTAATTAAAATCTTTCAATGTCCCAGTGACTACCTATTTCTCAAGGTTGTTGTGCAAAGCTGTTTTATCAAGTAACTTCACTTATAGAAGTAAAGGATTATTTTGACTTCCAAATTGCCGAGGAACATTTGTGAATTTCTCCAAATAAAGTCAGAAAATACCTATTTACAGATGAAGTGTTTTCAGTGAGCATCTCACATCAGTCAAAGCTGAACCAGTTAATGTACTTTGGCCCCTCCAAGTCAACACACAATATTTGTGGCTTCCTCCCCCCCACACCCCACAACCATCTGTGAGTTCAGCACAAAACAGAGTCAAAACCGATGGACCTGTCGCAGGGATGGGGACAGTTTTCAGGCCAGTCTGCCCAGGCAATGAGTAGGTGGCCCTACCAAGCCCCTCAAGGCCTGTTTTGTGGTCAGTTGGGAAGTCTGGAGACTGCTGGTGTGGACGGAGGCTGGAGCATGGAACAGAAGACCAGTTCTCCTGGGAGGATCTGGATGACTTTGAGTACAATGAAAACAATCCAGGGGAGATCTACAAAGAGGTTCTTGGCATCATTTTTGCCCTCCCAACTGCACAGCGATAACCAGACATAAAAAGCGCTCTTATCACGCATGATCTTTTAATGTCTTTGATGTAGGACTGAAGGTCGAACGCTTTGAAAGCCCACCGTCACCTCTGCATCTTCTGCAAGCATGAGAGCCACTTGACACAGCCTGTGCCAAGACAATTGGCAGTGTCTACATTCGGTTCTCACACCCCACTGGGATTCAGATCAACAGATGTAGAAGTATGAAGTACTAGCAGGCTCTGATAAATTCTAGTGAGCCAAGAAAAATGGCTCTTCCACATAAAATGGAAATTTGAATTAAAGTATTTGATTACTAAATCCTCACTTGTTCCCTGTATGCTTAGATACAGAGCCTTCCTTTCTCCTCAAGACAAAGTGAAAGTAAACCACACAGTTTTTAAAGTGGTTTTCTACCAGGAAAGAAATCAAAGTGTTTGGTTAAAAGAAGCCATCACTACAGTCTTCATTAAAGTAAAACACAAGACTTTTGTTCTCCTGTGGGGAAGAGAATGAAAGAAAGGTATCAGCAGACTTGGGTCACTGGCAAGCGAGCTTACAACTGAACTGCTGGTGCGTGACGGGTCAGGAGAAGAAAATTTTCTACCGCTCCAGCACAGCCATCAGTTATCTTCCAATCCCTATTCCCTCTATAAAAACGGAGCTTATGTTTGTCTGCTTACACGAAGTAATTGTCAAAACCCAATCGGATTTTGCCTGTAGTGTTCCACCTGCCCATTTTCAAGGGAAAAATTTCATGTTCTCACATCATGAGACAGAACAAGAAGCAGCTGATTAAGTAGTAAAACACGAAAATGCTCACAAGGGATTCATTTGATACCATGGCCCCTTCAACTTTACATCAGGAAATCAATGCAATGGAAAAGAAGAAAACCAAGGTGAGCAGCAAATCACCCAACCCACGCAGAGAAAGGCAGTTCAGGAAACTCACCTGAAAAGAATGAATGTCTGTACTGGATCCGGTAGTTGTTCACGTCACTCAAATACACTGCAGTGATGGCTCCTGGTAGTCACTTCTCCGTCCAGCACGCCTGGCCCCAAGGCCTATTTCTTTAATGACAACTGTTTGCGGCGAACTAGAAGCGGAAGATGCGCCGTTCAGAGCTGTACGCTTCTTTTTGACCACGTCCATAGGGAGACACGTACCGCTGTCCTCCAAATCCCAGAGAGAGTTAGCACACGATTTGCAGAGTGAGTGGATTTCTCTGGGTGAGGGGAAAAAACTAACTTAACGTAGAGGTTCAGAGGTGAAGCT